TATTTTATAGTTTGTTATTAAATAAAAATAATATGTTAAATTGCCATTTCAATCTTATGGATTCAAAATTCGTTTCAATTAGACAGTTGTCTTTTTTTTTTTTACGAGTGGGGTGAGAGTTTTAAAATCTTCCAGGTAGTTGTTTGTATAGGTTAATGTTGCTATGTTTTTAATTTAATTATAATTAAGAATATTTAATAAACCTAACACGTTAAAAATGTGAATAACGAGCTACCGTCTGGCGTTTAATTAATTAGCATATTCTTTCCTAAAAAAAGTAATTAACATATTCCTAACAAAATTGACTACTATGGGATTTAATGGAGTTACAATGTCAAGAGATTCAATATAATTGTCATATTTGAAATTTGTTATATGAAAATACAATTTTTAAATATGACAAGTTTGATATATGAACTCTTACATTTGTACTATTTTGCAACATATTTGCTATTATTTAGACCAGATTTATTATTGTCATGAAAGCCCTAATGATATCTTACCGCATATGTTGGAAGATTTAACCCAGAGATTAAATAGATTTTATTTTCTAAATAAGGATTAATTTGAAACTAAAATATAATTAAATACATTTAGGCAAACAAAAACAACCAATTAAACTACCGGAATGAGGCTGGTTTGGTTTGCCGCTTAACAAAGACGAGATTTTTAGCTAAACAATTGGTCAAATCCAATCTTGATCAACAAGAAGCAAAGCAACAACTTTATCCGATTCTCATCTCCCAATTCGACAATTCCCAAATCCAACGCTCAAAATTCCATATCTGTAGCGCTCTCTCCCTCGAGAAAAACCAACGCACCGCAGACAAATCAACTGCGCTCTTCATTTCTACTTCCCGACCCACGAATCAAATCCATCTCCTCGAAGAAGAAGAACAATCCAGGCATGGCTCCGACCCCCAAATTTCATCTGGGTCTAATCGTTTTGGCCGCGATTTCTTGGCTTTCTGTGTCAGGATCCGATGCTCCTAGTGTCTATGAAATCCTCCCCAAATATGGGCTCCCCCGTGGCCTTCTGCCTGACTCCGTCACCGACTACACCCTCTCGTCCGATGGTCGATTCGCCGTTCATTTGGCGAAACCCTGTTACGTGAAGTTCGATTACTTGGTTTACTACGACAAGACCATCTCCGGAAAGCTCGAATACGGCTCCATCACTGATCTGGACGGTATCGAGGTCCAGAAACTGTTTCTGTGGTTGAATGTCAAGGAAATCAGAGTCGATTTGCCGCCTTCTGATAACATCTACTTCCAGGTCGGGTTTATCAATAAGAAGCTCGACATCGACCAGTTTATGACCGTCCACTCCTGCAGGGACAATGGTTTCGGCTCTGCTTTTGCTTCCTGGAAACGGATTCTTGAGGTATCTTCTCCGCCGCCACTTGCTACTTTCAAATCCTTTTCAGCTTTTGGTTATTAGTTGCAATCTTTTTCTCTTCAGAATCTTTTTTGGAGCTGAAAATCTACTTTGTTATTTTCCCTGATTATCATCAAATCAATTCATGGTGATTCGTTCCGCTGTGTCCATGCTTAGAACTCTATGATTTTGGTGGTTTTGTAGTTGTTCAATCCAGCGAAATCTATTAGACAGTAATTTGTCCAACAAGTATGATGGATTATGTAAAGTTAGAAATCTTGCGTGCCAATAATTATGAACTCGACTGTTAGAAGAAATCAGTTGAAGAGAATTTAAACCTTAACAGCTGCTGTTTCTTGAACTTTGATCTGTAAAATTTATGTTTCGAAAAGCAAATTTTGTTTTCCTAATTTTAGTTTCTGAAGAAAGAATCTTCTGTAACGTCGTGGAATATTCTTTTGGAGTGTTGATTTTAAACAAGTGCAGTGCATCATCCTTTGTCTTCAAGTTATTATCTTGTGAGCAAAAGTATTACATTATTCAAATAAGTTTCGAAAGCACTCTAATTTTTACACGTTCTTTGAAGATATAACATTTAAATAAAATTCCTAGAAGTTAATATACTTCGACAAGTGCTGTGGAAATCCAGAGCTGAATATAGCTATTGTTTAGTCATTTTTTGCACTGAACCTTTCGTGGTAGAAAATTAGTAAGTATTAATCATGATGTTTGATGGGTTTGATTTGATTCAATTTTATAGAACTAAACCATTTTGAACCATTTGGGTGGTCTCTCTTTTGAATTTTTCTGCTATAAGAAAACTGAACTTGTAGTTCCACATCTTTGTAGAGTTTGAATTATATTATCATTGTTATTGGGCCTGCAATTGTTGTATATCGTTCTTCAGGACATGGCTCAACTTCAGTGAACAGCTAACCAGATTAATCTGAACTGCCTTCATTTTGTCACCTCAACTCTGTTAATAGAAGTTAGTGAGGGGCGAAGCTGAGTCTATATCCCATCAGTCACACCTATGTTATTGTTTCAAATTCTACTCATGAAACAATGTCTCATGAATATGATTATTTTCACGGTTTGATCTTCCAATGTGCTAATACAATAATTCTCAGTTCTTTACATTTCTATTTATCTGCTTGGATTTGGATTGACCCCCGCCCTTCATTTTTCCTCACTTATTGCTTGCTGCTAATTTATGTTTTTCTTTGGCATTTAGTTACTTATTTCAGGGGATGTTTCTTTGTGTTCTAATTTTAGATGAATCACAAACCAATACGCTACATTAAGTTTAAAATGCGACCTAATTAAGTTAAGAAAAGGGTGTCAAATTGAATATGCTTGAGAGTGATTCTATCATACTAAAACTTTTTCGTTTGGTGTTCACAGCTCCCAGCGCCCGTGGATGACGTCCAGATGCTAATTACCGAGTAGCTGCTCGTCACTTGTTCAAGTTCTGTAAGTTCTTCTTACTGCATTATCTAAATGAGCAGAAGAAGAAGAAAAAGTTTAGCAGTTTTTAGGCTTCTGGTCTCAGTTTAGACGTCAAATATCAATGTCTATCTTGGAAGACCTATGATATGACTATGATGGTATGTTAATAGTGGATGAGTCTTCAGCTTGATCCTCAGAAAAAATGCCTAAAACTTTGGCATTTGAGGAAGTATAAACTCCATGTATGTGAATGACATGTTATATTAACTATAATGAATTGCCTACGTCTTGTAGTTTGTTGCTGCCAATTTAAAACGATTAAAGATCACCGAATTAATCCCAACAGTCTCCGAACAAGAAAAACCTTTTCCAATTGTCTCAATGTTTCTTAGATTTGGCTAATTGTGATCTTCAAGGAAATGTTGGGTGGTGTTTGGATGTGTTGCATGTTCCATTATTTTTTATTATTTATTTTTTTGCCATTATTTGAAGAACGGGATTTCTTTCAAATTTAATGAAAATGAAGATGAAGGCATTTTCATGGTTCAACAAAAAATTATTGATGTTAGCTGATTGCCACAATTCTAATCCAAGATTTGATGTTAGCTTGGTTTTCATTAAGTTTGTGTTGATTCCTATGTGTTTGGTTAGTCGATAAGTGATCGGAAAATATTAGGTTAAAATATTATTTTCCGATTCACTTTGGTTCTTGTATTTTTGAAATATCCATTTTAATTTATGTACTGGTTCATTTTAAATATTTGTTTTGGTCGCTATAATTTTTAAAGTAACCATTTTGGTGTTTGTTTGTAAAAGTTTAGCACTAAGTTATGTTCACGACGGAAATCTTTTAGTATAAATTTGTGGCTATATTTTTAAGAAATATATTGAGTATAGACGATACAGTATCATGTTAAAATTGTGATTCATAAAAATGAGATAGAAGATAAAATGAAAGACTAAAACGATCACTTTAAAAGTGTATCGCCTAAAATGAATATTTCGAAATACGATGGCTAAATAGACAAAATTTGAAAAAGTATATAGATCAAAAAATGCTAAAAGTATTATCGAATTAATATTTGAAATACTGCTCAGATTAGGCTAGTTTAGTCCAACCCCTAATAGTGATAGGCCATAGGACTCGATCCCTGAATTTGAAACATTCAATTAAAGTTTGGAACAAGCGAAGATAGGCTAATTTTTAGTTTTTAAATCAAAATTTATTAAAGCTTATTATATTGGTATTTTTAATTCTTTTTGTTAAATATTATTTTATTTCCTAAAGTTATTAATTGGGTGTATAAATATATAACCGGGTCTAGACTCTGGCCAATAGCGGATCAATGTCATTCGAATAATGGAAGTGGTTCCCTTTTGCTGTTGTACCCAACAAATAATTTATTATAATGAAATAAAACCATATGCTCCATGTTAAGAAACAAATAAAGAAGATATTTGTATTAGGTTATTTGTTGAATCCCACGTGGGGAATTCAACATATTGTATTGAAATTCTTTTTCCATTCACCAACTTTAGAATATAAAATAGTGCAGATTATTACCAAATGTTGGCGTTTTTTCTCAGCTTAATTTCCCCCCCAATTGCTTCCTTTTTACTTCATCACATATACTCCTGGCTCTGCTTATCATTTGGCCTATAAAACGCCATTTCCACTCCCAAGCTCACCAGCTCACCACCACACATTTCTCTCACAATATCAAGAATTACCTGCAATGGAGACCTACAGAGATATTTCAATTCAAACCCAGAGCAAGAACAACCACAAGGACACAGATTTTCCCAGAAGCAAGCGAATGTCGACGACCGGGAGGGACGCGAAAGACGATATAAATGAAAGAGCTGAAGCTTTTATCAGCAACTTCCGTAAGCAACTAAAGATTTAGAGAGAGGAGTCACTAACCCGTCTTTGGGAACGATCGCATGAGGGAACTCAATAAGTTACCTGTAGTTGCTCTGTGCCTTTTGATCTTTCTTCTTCATTTGATCATTTATATTTGAACTCATAATAAACGTTAACGTTTTTGGTGTCGATGATTCAAATTAATCGCAATCAGCCGTAAATCTCGTGTTGTTTATATTCTAATGAAATGTTTGTATTCACAAGGCATCTCCAAGATTACATTTAGAACTGAGCATGAGATCCCCCACAAAATAAACAAACTAGTCTGAGATTGATTGATAAGATTTACTTACAAGTATTTGCTTTCTGTTCAAAAATGTAATGAAATTATCTCAGATTTCCACTCCAAAAGCAAATTCTAGTACTAAGCCCTCCTCCTGTAACTAAGCGGTCAGAACTGATTGAACCAAATCCCTGTTCTTCATCAGCTCCCCGAAAATATTTATTTTTCTCTGCCATTCCTGTTTCACCATACCATTGAAAAATATCGATCCGCCTTCGGCTCCTCATGCCTGAAGCACCTGACAATGCACGATATGACWCTTCAACCCGCTTCGGCCAGCTATGCTGGACAATAGATTTGTAACTAGAGTCCTCAAATGACCTTTCCCAGCAATATTTTCCCAAAGGTGAGGATTGCTCTCGACCTGTTTATCTGGACTTGAAACATCAACAAGACTGATACTCATGTTGTTGCGGATAATGCAGAGCTTCCCGTTAAGCGAAACCAGTGCAGCTGCCTCCAGAGCACGAGAGCTTCCAAGATGGAGTTTGCTATCGATGAATTTGTTCCATGAATCTGTTGCTCTGTCATAAACCCTGAGCTTGCATCCATCTCGGCAATCCAAGGCATAGAGCTGTCCGTTCAAAGAAATACTCGGGTTACGCCAGCCAGCAACCATCCCATCACTAACTGGCGTCCAGGTATTAGTTTCGGGAGAATAGGCTTCACTCATGACCTCTCTGCGAGATCCAAGTCCTTTAAGGAACCACAACCCGTCATGAACTACACCAATGAATGGCACCATAGCTGAGCTCATATCTGAAATAAAGCTCCATCTGTTCTTATTTGGATCATAAACTTCAGCAGAACGAAGGGTTCTCTGGATCCCCTCACATTCACCGCCAGCAACGTAGAGGCAGTTATTTATAACACAAGAACCGAAACAATGACGCTTCCGAAGCATATCAGGCGCCCTATGCCATTTGTTCGTACGGGCACTGTAGAAAATCACCCGCCTCATCGATCCCTTTATCGGATCCTTCCCTCCAAATAAGTATAGATGACAACCACTAAGGACAGCACAGCCAAAACCAAGGGCCTCAGAGTATTCGACGGGAACAGGTGGAAGTGATTGCCAAAGCTGGTAGGTGGGATCAAATGCGTGCCACGAGATCCTTCGATCACGGTCTCTTTTGATGACATAGACCCACTCTTCTGCCATGCCAAGACTTTTCCTTAGAGAATAATAGAAGTTTCCCATCAGAAGTCGGTACCATCTCTTGCAAACAAGACGGAGTTTCCTGTGTTCCACTTGAGGGACTCGAATCAGACAAGCGATGGCAAGATCATCTGGAAGGCCTGGAAGGAGTGGAGGCTGGACTCGGGTCCTTTCTCTCCGTGAAGCTTTACTTCTGTGTGCATTTGGATTAATATCAGGCTGGATACATATTTTTGAGCCAGGGACGAATTTTCTAGCTCCAACAACTGTTTTCAAGCCTGAATCCACTTTACAATAGCATGACACAGAATCAACCTACAACATATTGTCAGTTAGTTTCAAAAAAAGTTTACATACCCATTACCAACTTTTKCCAAGAAAGAAAAAAGAAGAAAAAGGTAACCATATCAAAACCAATGGATCATGTAAGGCCTTCAATACACACAGTAGCTTAAATTTTCACCACTAGATTTGGATAGTTGATCTTATGTCTACTAGTATTCTAGAACAACAGACAATACTTAATCTGGAGGTTGCCCCCAAGTGTCTTTCTGGTTCAGTAAAAGCAAAGAGCAGAGCTCCTATGGCGACCGCACGTTAGGAACTTCGAATCTACCACGCCATGAGGAAGACCATTACAAAAAGTAATGTGAGTTAAAAGATCTGAGCACATCGCACCAATCCTCCATGGTATGAATGCTCATATTGCTCCAGAATGTAAATATCAACTGGAGACAATGAAAAGCCTGACTCCATATACACTTACTTTAGGTAATATTACATTTATATTCTAGGGTTCATCTTGCATATTTTTCAACTGAATCTATTCACCTATCAATAGATCTCCTTAAAATTCACGTGGATCTCATACTCTAGATTCTGCAGCAGCATTTACCAAGATTCATATTTCATAATCCTCATAAGCTCCTCAAATGTTGAGTTTCAAAAGAGGTAATAGAATAACAGGCTTCAAATCTTGCCATTACCCTTGAGCACAAAGTAAGGGCCACCCACATGGGAAACTACTGTTTCTACCATTCAAATGAATAAAACCGAACAGAATTTGTTAGAAAACAAATCCAAAATCCCCGTGAGAGACACAGCTAGAGTTCACTCCAAAATTAGGCATCTAAACCACATACTTGGAATCAATTCTCAGAGAATATTGATAACCAAATCCATCATCATTCAGAACGCATGAAAGTGAGCTCAGAAGATTAATTAGAATATTCAACAGAATGCCGATGAAAGCAGACAAGTAAAAAGATGCGTTCGTAAAATGCAAAATTCTCCTCAACTTGCGTACAATCCAGGCCATCTTACAGAAACCTACCGCGGAAAACCCCAAGAATCGATCGGGAGCTCATCAAACTTCAAAATCTTTCTCAAATTACAGTGCATTTAGATAAAAACCCACCACTATATCACCAGAAACTCGCGAAATGGAAATCGTAAAGGAGAAATGCGAGGAGTTGGAGGCCAAGAAAAGCTCAAAAAAGCGCTTGTAACCGAAATTACCCAGAAGAGAACTGCATAATTTCCATAACTTACTCGGGTACTCCAAAGATGGCAATGAAAGAAGAGAGCGAAGTAATTAAATGGGGAAAAAATGAGACAAACAAAGAATATACTTCAATTCGACTAACCAGTGGAGCTTGAATTCGGATTCCCCTTTGAGCACTTGAAGACTGTTCAACTGATTCGTCCATTTCGGAAGCACAGAACCATATATTCAATTTCCAGCCATACCCTTCATCGAAATCAAGGCTAAAAAGGGCTCAATTAGAATGGATCAAGGGGCTGTTTGGGCTCGAAACCTTCGACCCTCCAAGAATCTGATCTGACAGAGGGAATTGAACCAAATACGCTCTGGTTTTGACCTCAGGAACCGCTCACAAGTCACAAGTCACAGGCAACCGAAGCTCTGACGACAAATATCAAGCAGAGCGACTAAAAGGAAAAAACGTGAGAGAAAGGGAACCCCGTTCGCTGCGTGTCTCGCCCAGGTTTCCCTCTCACGCGCGCGCACATACGCACAGAGAAGCAGTCTCCTATCTATCAAAGTAGCTGGGACGCAGGCTGAGGCCACACCCAATTACTGATTTGGAGTAATTTTGTTGAATGATGTTGTCTTGACTCTTAATTAAGCAGCTAAAGCTCCATTTTTAATAAAGAAAAAAGCTTTCAAGTCTGACAAAAGGACAAGAAACTCTAATGACAAGGGTCCTCTTTGTTGTTGTTACCATTAATGGGTCAAAACCCAATTTTTAGGGGAAAGAAGAGAGAGACAAGTCAATGTCATTGAATTGAGCCATCTTCCTCTTCCTCCTCTTCTTCCTCTTCCTCTCTCTTCTTTATTTTCTCTCTTCTATACAAAACTATGCACAGCCAGACAACATAACAAATGGATTCACTCATCACTTACCCATTTTGACAAACCCTTTTAGCATTTTTAATTATTTTCAAGAGAGAAAGCGACTTAGAGCATTAAACACAAAACAATAATAATAACCTTATTAACCAATATCATCACTGTAATGATTGAATTTTGTGCATTTGCCGATGCTATAATGTGGGCTTCCATGATTCTAGTTTCACTTTCAACAGCATCTTTTATTCAATCTTTTTAGCTTTATGGACTATTTCTTCAAACTCGATGTAGAAAAAGAAGTCTTAAAATTTGGCAAAGGTAGTTTTTATTGCATTTTGTTTGTTGCTTGTGTGAAAGTGTGAATGTTAGAAAGTTTCTAATTCCAAGTAGAGTTTTGGAAACTTGTTTTCTAAAGTTTGTGAAAATATTTATTGGGGCACCAAAAGTACCCTCTTTTTTTGTACAAGATGGACACCATCCTATCTATGTATAGATATGAATGCTTCTAAACCAAATTCATTAAATGAGGGACCACTAGTCCATGAGCTTAGTTTGATGTCTCTAACTTAATTTAATATGTTATAGCCAAAACCATAACATCATTCTATGGATACAATTGGAAACTTAGAATTCAATTATATCTTCCTGTAAATTGATTAATTTTATTGATAAATTAATTCATATTAAATTTAGAATCAGTTGATTTTAATTAAATAAATGAGTAATTACTTTTGAAGTAACTAGCTTCTATATTTATTATGAAAGATTTAGGATGACAAGGACAAAGACTAAGAGAGGTTTTTTCAAGCTCATTCTCTTGATGTAAAGAAAGATATCGAAATGATTAAAAAAACGGAGTTGTTATCAAATGAAAGCAAGAACATTACGGACATAGAACTGCAATTGAAATGAACTTGTTCCTTTGGTTGATAGGTTGTGATCAAATAGAGAGCTGAAAAAGAAAAACAGAACCATATGAGTCTAACATACGTGTTTTAGTATCTTAATACGACTCAAATGCCATTTTAACCATTGTTTCTGGTCACAATCCTCCCCCTTTTCTCAAGATTGCCATTGTTTCATAACTTTCTTTCAAGAATCTCTCCTTTCTAGTCCATATGATATACATTATTAATTCCTGAATAAGTACAATAACCCATAAAACCATTAGATAGAACGCCCGGAAATCTCCAAACAGAAGCCAGCCAGCTCAAACACGAGATTTATCATTAAATCATGGATGATTTCTTTTTCATTTCTGAGTTCAGTAGATGCGGGATGGGAGATCAACCCTTCAACAACTAAGCACTGAGCTTCTAGTTCTAATGAAGCAAAGAAAAGAGAGAGTGAGAATTTCATAAGTTGGGAACGGATTGAACTAAAGCGACAACACTGGGAGATAACAAAAACTAAAATGTGTACAACAGTTTCATTGTCTTCCTGTTTGAGATCGATAATTTATAACCCGAAAAACCTGGTTTCTGCGTTCTGAGATCAAAAGACCCTATCAAAAGGTATCCTGTTTATTTCGGGTCAACAAAATATTACAAAAACTTTGAAATTCTTCAGAAGGGGGAAGAAATGGAGAGCCCCAGAAGACTGGGTTGGTTTCAAAGAACTTAGCCTAAGCGATGGAAAACACAAAGGCGGCTAAACAGTAAAGCCCTGAGATCTCTCCACCCACCAGATTATCCAACCAATACGAGACGAGACGAGCAAAAAGAACAAAGTAATCCCTACTTTGTTAGTACCATTTCAACCAACACCTAAGGAACACTGCACACAACTCTACATTCCTAATGGGCCCCAAAATGGACAACGTTTTCTCCTTTTCCCCCATAATGACAATAAGTTTTGACAATAATCACTTTTTAACACCAATAGTCGAGAAAAAAAAACAATACTCTATTTAGGCAGAAACAGGTTCCTCTACCCATAACCTAAACACTGTAAATAATTTAAAAGCGTACACGTTAGTCCCATGCACTAGTCACCCCTGAACCACCGTACCCTCCTCCTCCTCCATATCCTCCTCCTCCACCACCACCACCACCCCCGCCGTAACCCCCACCGCTGTTGCCTCCAGTATAGTAATCAGAACTACCTCTGTTGAAAGAGGGGTCCCTTCGATAGTCACGGCTGCCAAATCTGCCTCCCCCAGAACGACGGTTCCTCCCTCCAGTGTATGAGGACCTGGCAGCGAAACGTAACAGCCATTCAGGAACTTCTTGATTAGATTCATGCATCAGATCAGCCAAGGACCTTGCTATTGATGAATTGTTCTCGTTAAAAAAGGCAGTTGCTAAACCAGTCTTCCCAGCTCTCCCCGTTCGTCCAATTCTATGAACATAATCATCAATGTCATTGGGGAGATCAAAGTTGACTACATGTGCAACATGAGGAATATCAAGCCCACGGGCAGCTACATCAGTGGCCACCAAAATTGGCGTGTTCCCACTTCTAAATGATCTCAATGCTTGTTCTCTTTCCTGCAAACACGTATAGATAGATACATTAAACAGAAGCACAAATAAAATATTCATATCCGAAATTGCAAAGGCAATAGCATGAAAAAATATTGAATGTGGTATTTTATTGTGAGTAAAAACGTAGTTCCTAATTTCTCCGACAGATGATTTATTGGCAAGAATAATTTATCGGCAAATAGCAGGCACCCTCTTCCCAATGGAAAAAAATTACTTAACATACTAGAAAACCGAAACTAACAATAAGATCCAACTTTACAGACGACAACAAATGGAGCACAAGGAAACAACTCAGATGGCAAGATCAAAGTGAGCTATCACCACCTAAAACACTACTAAATCCATCTGAAGCTGTAACTCAAATACCACAACGTCAATCTTCACTCAGAACTCACCATCAAAAGAAAAAACATTCAAAAACAATTTAATGCAAGACTGAAAACTCGAGTAAAAGGCTGTTGACCATTCTTGCACCTCCCTTCATAGTTCCAATCAGAAGTTCCTTAAGATTATTAAGACAAGAATAATGCAAAATCTAATTTTTTTTTTTAAGAAATAAGTCTTGCATGCGCCATTCTCCGTAGCCAATATGACAATTCAACAAATTAGAGCCCGTTCAGTTCCATAATAACGTTAACATCAATGTCGGAACTATCCACACGTTAGCATATTCTGCAGAAATCTATAATAACTCAGAAACCACCACAAGTTCTGAATAATGTTGAGAACAATGAAATTATCAGAAACAAAACAAAAGAAACAACAGGTAGAGAAAGTATTATCCATACGAATGGAAAAAGAAAACTTTTGTTATTTGTGATTGCAGAATTTTTTTTAACTTTAGAATGATTTCATAACCTATGTCTTCAAGACCTTCAATTACTTAAAAACTTTTGAGTTATTTTTTTTAACAAGACTTGGAAAAACATGTCTTTGATGTTTACATCATTTTGAAAGTTAATCTATGATCTTATAAAATTCTCAATTTATCCTTCGTATATTAATGTTTTTAATTTTTTCAATCAAATCCTTCGCAGTAGACACTAAAAGAATGGTGACATAGAGATTTGAAATAGTATCTTTCAATGAGACAGTCAGTTGTTAATATGGTAGAGCACTTGAATGGGTTCATTTTCAATAATAGAAACTCAATGCAGGTCGTGGTCGGGTAATATCCTACAGGTTGGATCATATAAAATTAAAACATGGCAATTCCAATTCAATTAATAAAATGCATTTTAATGTTAAATTATCACTTCATTAATGGATTGTAATATTTAATGAAACGATAAGGACTTGATTGAGAGAGTAGTTAACACCTTTAAAAAAATTGATAACTGGGAGTCGGAGAGTTAACGCCTTAAAAATTAAATTAGACCTTTTAAATAAATCAAAATAACAAAAATATTAGAGACAAAATAACATATTTAGACCGAATAAAATTACTGTTTCATTGAAGGCGTGATTTAGTGAGGAGAGAGATCATATCAAACCATGTCTGCAGAAAGAATAAATTAAAAATGGCATACTAATACGTCATTCTACAGACTTCTTATTTTTTAAAAAAACATTGAAAGCTTTTTTTTCTTTTTGATAGGAAACAAATTCATTGATGTGGTGAAATACTAAAAAGAAGGGGGATAGCCATCCCCATGCAACAGTAAGTTACATAAAAGCGTTCCACTTTGCATTGAACGCTTGGTGTTATTGATAGTTAGAGATTCTCCTTTGCGTAAAGCAGTTCTACAATGAGGGCAAAACTTATTCACCAAATTGCCATAACCCCCTTGTTCAATGAGATTTTGTTTACTTAATGAAGAGAGTTCTATTTTTCTTCATATATACTTTCAATAGTAAAATGATGAACAGAATAAAACTGAAGCTACCACTGAGGAGAACCTAATACCGAGGGTTTTGGATGTTAGGAGATATCCTCTGAGGTTCTAAGTTCAAGTTCCTAGGATGAATACTTGATAATTTAGAAGTGGAGAGGAGACTAGTGAAGGGTGGACCATGAGCATAAATGATTCGTAGTACCCCAATAATTTTTGTAAAAAAAAAGAATCAAATTCAAGCTATAGCACAAACGCCAGAAAAATAATCCTTGGTGTAATTATCCAAGGTGGAATTGAACATCCCAAATAGAACTAATAATTCTTTTACTAAGAGTTGCTTCTTCCTTCTTTTTACTTTTCTTTTTCCTACTATTTTTTACTTATTGGAGTGTAAAACAAGAAAACTGGCAGACACTACGTTCAATGGGAGAGAGAAGTAGACCAGCTGTTTTCAGAGGAGAAGATTAATAGCATTTTGTATTTAAATAAGTATAAGCAGTTGACTAAAGAACTGCATAGTGAACTGCCAGAATAAATGTAACAATATCAAGCTTTATGTTGTCCTCCACATATGATTTAGCCCATCAATTCATGTTTATGTTAATATGATTTCTTAACCAAAATAAACCCTATTCTGATGGGGTAGAACAATCGTAATT